CATTATCAAAATCTTATCGAACTTTTTCACTATATAAAAAAGAAACCTTTTGAGTGAATCGAAAATATTATTGATTTTGCTACTCTGTTAATCCTTTGTGAACTTTTCATCAAACTAAGCCTTTGATTTTGCTTGATGAAAAAATTTAACTAAATAAAAAATGAATTTACTAAGAAAATTAAATAAATAAAAATATTAACTACATAAAAATGAATCTAAAAATAATAACGAAATAAAATAAAATTTTATAATAACATAAAAAAGTTTAATTTTTAGATTTGAACCAATGATGGCTAAACTCACTATCGATCTCAACTCTATTAAAATCAATTGTTATATTTATTCTAGATATAGATAACAAAGGTATATATATTATTAGCTATTTCGTTTCACATTTTCTTGTTTCCTTTTTTTTTATATGATCTTCTTCTATATTAGTCCTCGATTCGGTTATTGAGTTCGAATCGGAACCAAATCAACCTGATAAAAATCAAAATCAGCCTTAAGTGGTTCAGATGACATCAAAAGGTACGCATCGTAAAGCCAGATCTAATTATTTGATTTCAATTCTGGTATAAAAGATTGTTTCTGTATTTAATATAGCGTATTACAGATTTTATGCTGACAATGAGGATTCGAGAGTTACGAGGAAAGAAAAGGGATAAACAAGGATATATATATATATATATGTATGTATGTATGTATGTATGTGTGTGTTAGGAATCGAAATTCGAGTGTACTAAGGATTAGAAGGAAAAGTTTGACATGGAATAAAACTCCGTAATGAAGTGTAGTATCACGTTTTTTATTTTCTTGTATTGATTTTATATAGATTGAGGCAATTCATTTATTTCCACGTAGATTAAGTAGAGATGTCGAATCTAAATAGTTTGATACATATTTATTTTAAAGGATAGATATAAATTATTGACTGCGTCTTAGATTTAGAACTAAACAAACCAACTACTTTTGTCTTTGGTAAAAAGATAATACATTAAAATATTATGATCTAAAACAAATCCTATAAATCAACAAAATGATTCTCAAATCTTAAATCGATGATAAGTGAGATTCTTATAATTATATCAAAATATTAATTAAAAATATTTTGTTTAGAAAGATTGATCCAATCTAATAAATAAAGTTATTTTACGAGCTCGAGTTAACTTGGTATTTTGAGTTCATAGATCTATGTTTGCATCGGTGAAATGTAAATTAAAGGTATTTGAGTTCAAAATCTCTTATTTTTGGTAAGATTGATCCTAACATTATCAAAATCTTATCGACCTTTTTCACTGTATAAAAAAGGAATCTTTTGAGTGAATCGAAAATATTATTGATTTTGCTACTTTGTTAATCCTTTGCGAATTTTTCATCAAACTAAACCTTTGATTTTGCTTGATGAAAAAATTTAACTGAATAAAAAAAATGAATTTATGAAGAAAATTAAATAAATAAAAATGTTAACTACATAAAAATAAATCTAAAAATAATAACTAAATAAAATAAAATTTTATAATAAAATAAAAAAGTTTAATTTGTTAGATTTGAACCAATGATGGCTAAATTCACTCATGATCTCAACTCTATTAAAATCAATTATTATATTTATTCTAGATATAGACGACAAAGGTATATATATTATTAGCCATTTCATGTCACTTTTTTTTTTCTTTTTTTTATGTGATCGTCTGTATTAGTCCTCTATTCAGTTAGAATTGAGTTCGAATCGGAACCAAACCAACCTAATAAAAATCGAAAGCAACCTTAGGTAGTTCGATTATGATTCTTGATTTTGAAAAATCAAATCAATGGTTTCAATTCTAAGTTTAACTAAACTAAGTATAGTTGTTAAATTTTTTAATTTAAAGCTTATTGACCTAGATTTGAATATTGATAGAATCATTTAGTATTTTAAATTTTTTAACTGAGATGAGTGATCAAATCGAAATCAAAACTATATCTTCGATTTGATTCTGAAACTAAAATTGGAATTGAAATAACTTGGATTCAATTCCTAGATCGAAGGTTATTCCATTTCATTTGTGTCTCATCCTTGTTTAAATTGCAAAGATAAGGAATCCTCATAATTACTCTAATTTTATTTTTTTTTATCAAATTTAAATTAATAATATTAATATTTTATTAAAAAAATAAAATAATAATAAATTTATAAAAAATTATATATTATAATAATACTCAAATACAAAGATCTCCTAACATAAATAATAATATTTATTAATATTATATCATATAGTTCAATGGAATCAAACGATTGGCACTGACTCATAATCAATTCAATCCCAACCTAATTTGAATTAGGTGCATGGTTGACTCATTAAACATCTAGGCTTACTATCTCAGTCTACATATTAATATGATGATGAGTCCGAATACAAATACAAGATATAATAAAAATTAATCCCTATCCTCATTTATGCTTCCATCCTTACCCTATTTTGGATGAATCCTATGGATATAATAATACCTTAAGATATATGTGATATTTTATTTAGAAAGAAACATTAAGTTTCATTACTTAACTGAGAAGAAAATTGCAACTATTAAAGGGTCAAAAAATATCCTTTCCTAATATACTCGATACTAAATAGCTTGAGTTGGGCTGACATTATTTAGAAACATCTTGGGACCCTCTTTGCTGTACCAACACCTCTCACCAAACTAATGAAGATGAAACACTGCATTTATCTTTATCATTATAAATATGAAGGGTTGAGGGGAAGAAAAATAGAAGAATAATCCTCACAAGCAAGACAAGACTTGCAACATCTCTTTATGCTGGTGCAGGTGCAGACACCTAAATACAGCAACTCTCTGTGGACTATCCACAATGGTACAGAAAGATGAATGTTCAGAAATATTAGATATGATGAGGGATGAAAAGGTTGGATTATATTTTTGAGTTCAATTAGATATCAAAGAATCCCCCCCTTGCAATTAGATTGACCCTAACATTGACAAAAGATGCAAGAAAAAGCTTGACTCTAAGTGGAAGACTTCCTTATATGATTGACAGATGAAGTTTAATCCTGTGTTATACCTATCATATTATTTAGATTTGGTATAGGTTTAAGTTAACTCTGGGTGATCATATATTTTTAATTTTTAATTTTTTTATTAATTATATATAGCATGTTTATGGCAAAAAAGTAGAATTAATTATTATAGAATAACAAATATTTCGCTAATGATTTTAATATACAAGTAGAGATGTGAATTTAATATATGGTGTCCATTGTTGGGGAACAATCCTTAATTATATAGTGATATTACTACCATATAAAACATGAGTAGTTTTATGCACATTTACCATAAAAATTGTTATAATGGACAGACCTAAATTATATCATTCGATTAAGATCCAAAGAAACCAACATCTTAAAGAATAACTCATTAAAATTTCAATCTACGCAATCCAAAATCAATCCTAATTTGTGTGTTTTTTTTATGATTCATTGTGATGCTAAAAATATATAAATTATTTTAGGATTTTATATTTCATATGAGTCTTTAACTCAAATAATTACTGGTAATCATGATGAAAAATGGTTAGACATATGTAGAAGGCCCTTATATTTGGAGATACATATTCTCCATGAAAGACATATATATATATATATATATATATATATATATATATATATATATATATATATATATATATATATATATATTCCCTCCTTTTGTTGTTGATCATATTCCCTAATAATAAATTCCCTATTTTTCCAAACATGCTTTGAAGTGCGCACCTTACGATCCAAATCCGACGGTCGAAAAATACTGATCGAATGGGACCAAAAAGAGACCGCTTTGGGCGGCCGTTGATATGCTTGCCGATACCGATATAGACTCCGGTGCGCGTAGCGCTCTCCGTTATATTCCTCCCGTCCGTTCCTAAAATGGAAGATTATCGTTAAAAACGCGACCAAAGGGGAGAAGGCAAACGTTAGAGCAACCCCCAAACCCTAGCTAGGATCTGTCTCCTCGTCCCATTCCCCCCACTTCTTCCGATCTAACGCGGGCGGGCTCGACAGTGCCGGAGACCAGACGCGGTTTCGCATTCGATCCGCCCTCCTGTTAGGGTTTATTTTGCTTTCTACTGGTGATGATTTTGTTTGTTCGGGTCCCGTAATCGAACTTGCTCCGGAAATTTTCTCCTCTTTCTTGTTCTTAGTAGCTCAATTGGGCGAGTTCGTTGTGTTTAAGACTCAAGGTGGAATCTTGTGGCCTTTCCGGTGCTCGAGTTTGCAGATATTTCTAGGGTTTCTACTGATCCGAAGTGTTGGTGGGGGTTTCTCGGTGGGATAGACGGAAGGGGTGGGATGAATAGTGTTTTCCATGAGCAGATACTGGCGGATAAGCTTTCGAAGCTCAACAGCACTCAGCAATGTATCGAGAGTATCCTTTCCAATCGGTTTCATGCATATTTTAGTCAATTTAATACGCTTCTCTCCTGGCATCTTCAAAAGTAGGTGTAGCTTTTCTTCGCTGTGCATAAAGCAGGAAAATTGGATGGATTGCTGTTCTTGTCAGTCATGAACTTGTGGTGTTTCAAAACATTTATTTTTTGTGGCTTCAGTGCCCTATCACTAATGCGGAGTACAATTTTCTATTTGAGCTGATCTTTTAGCTTCTGGTTCGTGGATCTTGATTTTCCATCTTACCGCAGGCGAGAAGTTGCATTTTAGTAGTTACTGTGACAATATTTATCTTTTTCTGACTGCTCATATTTGGTTGATCTTTTGTGGTCTTCTCCTTATGTTTGGCTGGTGATTACAACAACTGAATGTGATACCTTAACTTGGTTCATTCATAGCTTTGTCGCATTGGTGTATTTTTCACCGAAAGCATGCAGAACAGGTTATCCAAACTTGGGATAAGCAATTCCATGGTTCACAAAAGGAACAGAAGGTTCCTTTTCTATATCTTGCCAATGATATCTTACAGAACAGCAAGCGTACTGGAACTGAATTTGTCAGTGAATTTTGGAAGGTTCTTCCAGCAGCACTTAAGGATGTTCTTGAGAACGGTGATGAACATGGGAAGAATGTTGTCTCCCGACTGGTTCGTCCTATTTACTGATTTGGTTACATACTTGTTATGATTGTTCTTTTAAGATTTCTTTTTCTCATTTGCACAGCTTGTCATCCTTTCAAATGAAGAATTATATCTCCTCGATAATATGCCACCTTCCATTATCTTCGTTTGCAAAGTTGTGATGTAGTGTTTCTTGCTGCACCTAGTGAAGAAAGGAACACCTGAATGAACATGCTTGCAATCTTCATGTTATAGACTAGTCAAGGCATGTTGGGCTTTCTTGTAGATCTTTATGATATCTCTCTGTTTCATTTTTCTAGGGGAGCACTAGTAGCAGAAGCCTTGAATGATGACTGTTTTCTTCCTGATGAATTGCCTTTTTATGCTTACTGTTCCCATGCTGATTCTTTAAAGTGGCTGCTAGTCTTTGATGAACACAGATGTAAAAAGAAATAAAAAAATATATTATAGACTAGTCTTTGATGAACACAGATGTAAAAAGAAATAAATATATATATAATAGATTATGAAGCTGACAGTATCGAAAGTTATATCCAGCGAACTGAACTCAAAAGAGTAGCCCAGTGACATCACAGTAATTATGGAACTTGCTTACAGGCTGTTCTGCATCTGCTGTCGCAGATTGTGGTAGAATGCATTACCCATATTTCGTTTAAGCATTTCTGTTTCTCCACATAATCACCTATTTTTGCCCAATATGCTGTCAAGTGTCTCGAACAGTTTTTTTGAATGCTGGTATATAAAGCTTAATGTAGTAGACATATTCATCTGCTCAAGACCTGCTATTCCATTGGTGGAGTTAATTGCATATTGTCCATATGATGATTGTTTGTTGAACACTCAAATCCTAGTTTATTTAATTTCCTTTGACTTCTTCTATTTGTCTGTACACCTGACAAGAAGATAATTGTATTGTAGCCAACTTTATAGTTCATTGCTATCTGCGATGTGTTCAATTAATGCGTTGATTGTTTGTGCCGATGTCTCTTTTTTTATATAAGCCCATGCATTTTAACTAGATAGGTACATGCATTTGTTTACGTTGATTGTGTTATTGATCAAGCATCTTATGTAGTTCACTTATTAGTTCATGAGGTTCTCCTTAAAAGGCAAGGTACACTTTCTTCACCTATATTACCAAAGATAGTGCTTTTTCAAGAGCTTTGCCATGAAACATAAATGCTGAAACTTTAGAAGTAGCAATTTTGCCTAGCTTGGCCATTTACTAGCCATCCTTGTAATTTTAACAGTGACCTGAAACATCTGAAACTGATAAAAGTATATGGCATATGCTTTGTTTTCTGTAAACTTTTATCATCGAGACACTATGGTAGTGAAATTGTCATCATTACATAGTCAGAAAATTTATAGCTTGGGCCACTGATGGACCTTATATATGAACTAACAAAGAATTTAATGTTGTAAACATATGACGAATGTCGTGAATTTCTGCATTTCTAAAGGTGGAATTTGAAGTATGTTAAGATTGCCAAATTGAATGTTGTTACTGATACATGGCTGGATCATTAATTACTATAGGTTGATATATGGGAGCAAAGAAGAGTGTTCGGGTCACGTGCACGCGGCCTGAAAGAATTGATGCTTGGAAGTGAACCTCCACCTACCTTGGAATTGAACAAAAAACGCTCACGTAGTTCTGTCAAAATCATAAGGAGAGACTCACGATCTGTAAAGATAGTAAGATCAAAGTCCTTTGTATTCTATATTGTAAGTAATTTTATGTACATGATACAAATTGAGAAGAAAATGGCTAAATATGCAATTGTTATGATACCAGAAATTATCTGTAGGAGGGACAGCCGAAAAAATTGTAACTGCGCTGCACAATGTACTCAGTGAACACTCCAGTGAGGAGTTGGACTTGAACAAATGCAAGGCTGCTGTCAGGCATGTTGGAAAATTGGAAAAGGATATCGAAAGTGCCTGTAATCATGGTAAATAATTGCTAATGGTCATGCATGCAAAGTTTCCCTTATTTGGTACCTTCACAATTACATTATATTGATTCTCTTGAGACCATTTGTTTAAATTTTGCTTCAGAGGGAGATCCTCGCAGGGAGTCATTGGCAAATGAGTTACAGGTGGAAGAGGCAACATTGAACGAATGTGTTGAGAAGCTTAAGCTAATTGAAGCAAATCGTGCAGCCCTTGTGACTCACTTAAAAGAAGCACTATCGGAACAGGTTTGTGAGTATTCAAATAGGAACTTTGTCAATTATGCTTGTCTATTGAGAAAAGGACCTGCTTTTGAATTTTGTTTGTTGGTTTGTGAATTTCGTTCAGGAATCTGACTTGGAGAATGTTCGCACACAGCTACAGGTGTGTAATGTGGTTTTACTTTCTTGAATTTCTTGAAAAAGAAATGATAGGAATACCATGTTCTGCTGTAATTTATGGTCATTGTTTACTTGTCAATGTTGTTGATGATGTGTGTTTGTTTAAATGTTGGGTTGCATATCTGAGCCAACATAGTGTACAGGTGATATGGTTTTTGCTTGTGGTCATTTGCAATAGGGTCATCACACAATAAAATTCTCAATTAATCTTCTTGTAGCCTGCAAAACATCAGATGGTTTCTTTGCAGTAGTGAAATTGTGGATAGCATGGAGCTAGACCTTCCCTTTACAACAATTCATCCATGGCTAGTAGGAATAGTGATGATTCATGGAAACCTGCTCTTGCAAATGTTGTTGCACATGCTCCACTCTTGTTTAGTTGCACTTCTAGCTTTCCTTTTACTGATGAAAAGATCTGTCCAATGACAGCTAGCCCAAGCCATGGTTGACGAGGCTGCCAACATGCAGAGGAGGCTTAACAATGAGCCAGTTGTGATGACGACCAAACCACCATCCACAACGGAACCACGAAAGCCAGTTTTGAATAGTCCACCAGACAAAGATCCAAAGAAGACTGCTGCTGCAATTGCTGCGGAGGTCGCCGATAAGCTTGCAGCTTCAACTCATTCCCAGCAAATCATGACCTCGGTTCTTTCCACCTTTGCTGCAGAGGAGGCCAAGAATGCAGGTCTGGCTGCATCAACGACTACTACATCTAATTCCTTTTCTGCAGCCCCACCAGATAGGAGGATAAAAGCCGAGAAGCCCTTGCCAATTTCCGATACCACTGCCACTGCCTTCATACCTGTTCAACCGATTGTTGTTCCAACGCCGCATCAGGCTCAAGCAGTTTTGTTGCAGCAGAATCCTGTACAAAGCCAAGCTTCGGCACCACAGACACAGTACAGTATGTACCCAGTTTCAACACAACAGTACCTGCAACACCCTGGAGGTGTCATGATTGGACTACCCTATACCTACAGTGCCCTACCTCCACCACCACCACCTCAACCTCAGATGATAAATATGGGAAGGCCATCACCTTCAGCTCAGCAGCAACAGCCGATGGCTTTGATTCAACAGCCACCACCTCCACCACCACTGACCATGAACCAGCCAATGCAGATAACTCAACAGCCACCCAAGTTTGCACTTCAACAGCCAGCACCCCCTAGTTATAGGCCCCTGCAACAGCCTGGCATAACATTTTACCATGCTCAAACACAATAACCCGAGCCCAAATTCTATTTGTGATGTACACACTTCCTAATTACCACAGCTAATTTATTGTACTGTTTCTTGTGGAATGATTTTGCTAGATGAGCTTAATGTAGAGGTGGGATCTTTTCCTGTGTCATATCTCATTACAGAATAGTCGGTATGTGAAATAAACATTTTGCAGTTCTCTTTCAGAAAAGAAAGTTTCAGTGACGTAGTTGCCATGGTACGTCAATATCAGGATGGGTAAAGCACAGGTTTCATGAACAAATCCGGCAATTGTCCGAAGTGTTTCGTGTTTGGCATGTATTCATTTTCCAGTTTACCTTCAGAAGCATTTGCTTGTTTCATGATCAGCCGAAATATAGGCTTCTGGGATTGTTTTACGATCGGAATGAACCCGCGTTGTGCTACTGAGAATTCGTGATTTGGTGCCTGTGAATAATTAATTATTCTTACTAACATGTGACTGGGAAAAGCCAATATAGTCTGTGGATATGTAATTATGTTGCATTACCTGCCTTACATCGTAAGCACCCAAACTCGAACAAGTTTATGGCTAGCAAACATTTCAGCTTTGCCTAGAACATCATCTTCTTCATCTTGCTCGTGGTACCAGGCTAGAAATCTCTCTCGCCAGCTTAGTACCAATATTTGCCAATCTGGACATGGTAATCACAAGGCTTCTCATGAAGTTCTAGAGATTTGAGGGAACAGCCTCAAGCACATGAGATTTCAGCTGAATTCTCAAAATGAAACAGACCCCGACACCAAGAATGTAAACGACTCTTTGAGGAAGCAAAATCTGAAAGCTGCCTGTGTTTCATCTTTTTCTTCCTTTAGTGAACTAAAATCTCGCTCCACTGAAGAATACAGTACCTTTTATGTATGCTGTCCTGGCATCAGAAATGAGTTCTAACAAAAATCCAACTGGAGTGTTGTTCTACAGATGATCCATATTACTGCTTTACCAAAATGTCGTGCTCACAAGATCTAACTGTAAGCCAGGCTCCCTGGGTTTGCACGGCTAATGTAGTTTTTTTCGTGTCAGTTGAGTTGCAGTAGCTTCTTCTGTCTTCGACTCCTAAAATATGACAGTTCAATTTTTCATATCCTTTAAGACTTGCTGCAGCTCAGGTTGGGGAAGACATTTGGACAGCTGGGCTTCATATGGTGATATATTGTGTCCTGCAGCAGTTGTTACTCGGAAGATGATGAAAGATGCCAACAATATCACACTTGCTTAATGAATTTAGTTTTTTAATTTTTTTTATGAAATTATGAGTATATAGCTCTTTTTTGTCAAAACCACAGAGACTCCCTTTTGGACAATATTGTTCTTTGGCAAGTGAAATTTCATATGACGTCCAGCCTAGCGACATGGGTGAGATTTCAGTTTATGCTTGGGAGAAAAGGAAAGAAAAATTATGTACAAAAGTTCCTTCTGGTTTCTGACAATTTCCTTAAAAAGCCTACGGCTAATAGGGAACATGAGAAGGTCGACTACTAAACAAGTTTGCATCCTCACCGCGAACATATAAAGTATAATTTCAGCATGCACAAATGCAGCATTAGCAGAACGGAAAACAACAGTTACGCTGATGCAGTTTAGAGGCACGGTTGTGTAACCGCTATTCACCCCCATGGTATCTTAGTAGGCCTGATCATCAACTAAAACATGATGCTGTAAATAAGATAGCACTTTGTAAACAAATTGCAGCCTTTCAGTACATTTTTACCTGGTTGGTCAAACACAATGAGCTGCTGCTAAGCAATGATTCCCCAAGCGGACAACTTTTTTTACATGCCAAGTTCTCTGTAAAAGACTATCAAACAAAAACTTGTTAATCAAAATATCCTTTACCGAAGTTTTTTGTGGTGAATTGGAAATTTATCTTGAACCTTTAAGCAAGAGGTTTCAGCTCAAGGATTGGTGGTAACATAGATCAGGTGGCGGCTTATATTGTGGAAACAACTGTCATCAATGGAGTGCTTGCCTCACGGATTGCTTGATAAGGAGGCTTGCACCAGGGGTTACCTGCTGTCACCATACATGTTTGTGTTAGCTGCTATGTTTACAACATATCAAAAGAAAACAATTCTTTGCAAGGCAACAAGCTACAAAACTCAAACTCGACATGGACAGGTCAAAGGTTTGCCTTACTGGTCCAAACCGATGTGACAGCCAATCGACAACACGGTAAGTGCCACCCCATGCCGATGTGCCAAGTGTCACCATGACAGGGCGTGCCGACGACACAATAAAAAGACCAAAAATTACTCTAAAATTATCTGAAAATAAAAAAAATTAGATTAGGGTTTTTAAGTTGGAAATAAATATAAATATAGTATAATTTCATCAAAAATATTCTAAATTATGAAAAAAAAGTGGTACATATCTTTTTTGAGCTTTGAGGAGTAGCTTTGTGACAGATTTCAGATCATCCTTCTGTTGATATTGAATTATCTAGAAAGAAATGATTTGAATTGTTAGATTATGAGTAAACTTTAAGATTCAAATGAATCAAATAATAAATGAATCGATCAATGGATATACCTGGTTCTACCACCAAAAAAAACGATAGGATTCCTCGAGTAGGGGATTGACTCTCTAACGTTGCCACCGTCATCGGTTGAGGCACTGTTGTCCACGTCGCTGCCACATCTATGGACTAAGCAGGTTGCTGAATGCGATTGAGAAGTTGTCTCGTCGCCCAACTCAATTCTTTCCAACGGATGAATTGAGGTGGTAGAAAGGGTTTAAAAACCCTTAAATCTGGTTCAAACGATCAAATGGACTGTTTGAATTCAACAAATTCTAACCCTTCATCGATAATAAACCCGTCAAGAAGATAAAAGGAATGATGAGTACTTTCAATCTGTAGGCCAAAAGATAAAGTACAATTTTTTTTAAATATTAAAGAAATCAACGATGAGTACTTTCAATCCGTAGTGCTTTGGATTCATCTAAGAGCACCTATTTATATTGGCCAAAAGATAAAGTATAATTTTTTTAAAATAATGAAGAAATCAATCATAGCCCAACAGATCTCCTTACCCTCATTTATTTATCTTAATTTAAATCCTTAACTTTTGTTTCATCTAATCCTAACTATTCGGAAAAAAATAATTTTTTTCTTTAGCCAAAGCTTTAGTAAAAATATCGACAAATTGATCTTCGATATTACAGTAGTTCATTTGAATTTCTTCTTTATCAACTAGTTTACAAATGAAATGATGTCAAACTTCGATGTGTTTGGTATGCCCGTCGAAGATAGGATTTTTCGTCATTGCAATAGTTGACTTGTTGTCGTAGTAGATTTTAATTCGTCCATCTTGCTTTTTTTCGTCATTGAATTAAACTTATCACACCCTCTTGATTCAAAATAGTTGAGATTAGATGAAACACAATATAAGAATTTAGATTAAGATAAATAGATGAGAGTAAACAGATCTATTAGGCTACGGTGGATTTCTTCATTATTTAAAAAAACTTATACTCTATCTTTTGGCTAATATAAATAAGTGTTCTTGTATGAATCCAAAGCACTACAAAAACATTAAAAGTTTCTTTGTTACCTTCATTGGAGTTCCTCTGACTCTCATTTGATTGACCTCGTCCCCTTCCTCGAGCATCAGATCGTCCATAGCCTCTACCATTTTGATCTCTCCCTTGAGATTTGATTTCTGAATTTTTCTTTTGATCCTTCTAATCTATCTTCATTTGAAGAACATGTTCTGACGTTTCATCTGAAGATATGTTCACTTTTTGTTCATGAACTAAAAGCGAGCCCCTTAATTCATCAAAAAACAATATACTTATATCTTTAGCTTCTTATATAGTAGTAGAAATTATATCAAATTTTGGAGATAAACTCCATAAAACTTTTTTTATAACTGTTTGATCTTTAGGTTCTCACCATAAGACCTCATTTGGTTCACAATAGAAGAGACTTTAAAAACAAAAACCAACAATAGATTTAGAATCTTTCATCATAAGAGTTTTGAATTCACGTCAAAGAATTTAAAGCTTTGAAGTTTTTACCTTATCTATACCTCCAAACACACTTTAATGGTTTTCAAGCTTCAGTTGATGTTGATGCCAACATCAACAGACTTACGGGCAATATAGAGTCTATACTGAGTGAAACGATCAAAATCCGACCGTTATAGACTAGTACAAGTTAAAAACGATTGAATTTCGTTCGTACCGCCCGATAGAGACCACAAATCGCTCGATACAAGGCCCCCTATTATGGACCGCCCGTTACAGGGCAGTCTACGTGTTAATCCCCTATCAGACTAGTCTATACCGCCTATACCACCTGATACAGGTCGACACGACGAACTTGGACAAGTCTACAACTTACAAAAAGTACCTTGATATTCTCTCGAGCTATGATGCAACAAACTTGAATTTCCAATTGATTTTGTTTTGTTTGTACAAATAGCATAATTGACAACAAATTTTTTAACATCTACAATTAACTAATTCGGTGGTATTCCTGGTAGAGCTTCCCAGAGTGCTATCGTGTAACATCGGACTTCCCCCTACAAGTATTTGTGATGTCTGATTTCTCAGATAGGCTCAAGAGTGGTGATTGGTGACTTCTCAATGCCAAGGTTGCCAATCACTGGGAAAGCTAGCACTATTATCTCTTTCCTCTAGTTGCACAAGGGAAAGAGGCTGATCTGACTATTCCATCACAAAACCCATCAGATCAGGGACATGAGAAGTCCATATAAATATATCACTATCCCAAAGTAGTGAAACCTCATACCTTACTTTGACATGGCAGAAATTATCTTAATATTCCTAAAACTGCTTACAATGACCAAGTTATGGGGGATCATCTTCCAGATTACTTTCCTAGTTAAACATGCTACATCTAACAATATCAAACAAAACAGCATCATAACTAGTGAATAAGATTGTGATGAAATAATCAAGGTCAATAGATTCCAAACCAGCCCAAAAAGTTTTTTATTCTCTAATGAACATTCAAAAATGACAAAACACATAAAACACAAGATGGTAAAAAGACTGAAATATCATACATCACATATGGCAAACTGATGGTTGCAACATTAAGGCGCATGAAAACCATTATATTAACAGCAACAAAGACTTCGAAAGTGAAATAATTCGATTATTTTATTTCTGGTATGCACTTCATTTGGAATTCAAAATTTATTCAGTCATGAGTTCTTCCAGAAGACCTCAATTCTTTAAGATCCTATCAAACAATTTATGTCAGCTGAAATCTCCTATCCAAATCTTACATGGATCACCTGCAAGAGTCCTTTTTCTATCCTATTTTATCATAGATGGAAAATTGTCAGGGTACCACAACAGTTTCTAGACACAAGTTAGCATCTAAAAAGAAAACTTATAGCCAAATTATCAAACTAAGATTTTGTAATACCCTAATTTTAAATAGGGTATATATTATAATCTCACTTCATAAGTGGAGCCTAGAGTTAGGAGTAACTCTCTCCCCTTTATTTGCAGCCATCATCCCCCTCCCTAATCATTAGGGAGAGGGCAACTATCGAGAAGGAGAAGATGATGACATTTGGAAATCACCTATAGAAGACAAAGATAGAGATATGAATCTTTGGTTGTTGCTATCTTCTCTAGATATTATGATATAGGAATCCGAATCCTTGGCTTTCCCTATCATCTCTAAATGTTATAATATAGGGACCGTTCTTTCCTCTCCTTGTTATCACTTGATGTTAATAATCTTCTTCTTTTTTATGGATATTTATATTGCATTGATCAATATGAATATCTTCCACAAATGAATTAATATTATTATTTAGTATCATAGTATTCACAGTTCCACATAAACATATCAGCCCTCGAATATTACAACCATATCCATAGGCTTTATTGATCAATCCTCCAGAATTATAAATTAGATCTCAAGAAAATATAGATCATCACTAACATAATTTGGATCAATTTCCAATATTTAACAATTCTTTATAATTAAATTGATATTTAATTCATGTGAATAAGTTTAGTGCTTAACATAAACCTTTCTATCAAGCAAATCAAATTGTCATGTCAAACTTATAAGGATTATAATAACTTCTACACATGACTACATACGATAGAAACTAAGATTAATAAGAGTTACCTCACCAACTGCAGAAACACTTGGACTAATAAACAAAATTGATGCAAATATCTTATGTTCAAAATCCTTTCCAACATAGATTTAGTTTTAACAAATAAATAGGTTCATGCGTTAATCGGATGACTTGTGTCCACTATGACTCTAAATAATAATATTGATTCATTCGTAGAAGATATTATAATCAGTCAAAGCAACATAAGCATCAATAAATTGAAGAAAAAAATAAAAGACTAACATCAAGGAGATAGCAATGAGAGAAGAAGAGGGTCCCTCCATCATAACATCTAAAGATAAGGAAAAGTCAAGAATTTGGATCCCTACATCATAACATCTAAAGCTAATGAAAAGTCAAGAATTTGGATCCCTACATCATAACATCCAAAGAAGATAGAGAGAGTCAAATATTTGAATGTCTACCTCTATCTTTTGTAGGTGATGCCCTAACATCATCCTCTCCTCGATAACTTTTTATCATGATTAGGGTGGGAAGATGATGACTACATATAAAGAGAAGTGGGGTTAATCCTAACTCTGACTTCCAATTATGAAGTGATAATACAAAATTGCCCCTATTAAAATTAGGGCGTTACAACTCTAGCATCTTTATATATGATAATTAAAACTACTTATCACTCCTACCAACTGAATAATGTGCCACCATCTAATGCTACATTTCCCTCCCGTCGTCATTAAAAGCTCATATTGCTTGAGAAGGTAAACATGGCTACATGATAGACAGGACATGGCTTGAAAAACTGGTCAGACCAATCTGTACCGACTATATTTAAAAACCACACAATTTTGCTTGGTCAGTTTGCAACTGGATTTTTTTTTTTTTGGCAGATAGTGACAACTGTCTTTTTAGTTTATTTTCCTACCACACTCCTCTCTATCCCAATTGTCTTTTTAGTTTATTTTCCTCCCACACTCCTCTCTCTCGCCTTACAGTCTGTTCCCTTGTGTCGTTCACTACCTTGCTACTGCCACTTCTTCATCTCTGGTATCTTCGCCTCATCCTCTCTTCTTCTCCTACTTCACTCATCCTCCTTTATTTCCAAAAGGAGATGCAAGAGATTGAAATGACTGTACCAAAAGTAGAAGAATGATGCCAGTTGACTAAGGATTTTCATATCACTAAATATGTTGTTACATATGGCTTTCATTATTGTTGTTATCATTTTTCAGGCAACTTTACTTTAAAGTTGCATCAGGTATATGCATGCTTGTAACATACTTCTAATTTGTTGGTGCTTTTGAGGAGTTACTGCAATTGAGGTTTAGAAATGTGACAAATGTTTGTGTCACTATATTTTTTGAGACTTCATATCGTTTATTCTAAGGAAGCTTTGTTTTATTTCTAAATTTCATAGATAAGTTATATTAGAAAAATAATTTGGAGAGCAAACACGCCTGGCTGGAATCTTCTTGACATATAGATGTTAGCCTCAATAGTGACAGTATGTATCTTTTTTATCCATAGGCCTCCTTCCCTCTTATTCTTAATTTCTTTAATGTTCTCTTACATTTCTATTTCTATACCTCTTCATTCATCATGATTGGCATAAAGACAATAATTATTTCTTCTAACTAAAATGCCTAGCAATGATCAGCGCAGCCTTCAGATCTATGAATGGCGTCAAGATAAAAGACCGAAAAAAAAAAAAGTTAAAATATTGAGAAGTGGCACAAATTTTTTAGCTTTTCAGTCAACTCAAACAATAATAAAAACAATAACAATAACTAAAGACAACCCTTCGCTATGATCACAACCTGCAGCCAGAAGATTTGTGCAAATTATGATGCTTTAATTCAGCATGCAACATGATAGGTCTCTACCATCAAGTAGAACTTACAACTATTTGGTGGTCATTGCAGCTAGCAAACTAAAACAAACCAACTTAAAGATTCTTTCATGGCACATAACAGTTAAGAGACATGTGACTGTGAATCTAGTAATCTCAAGTTTCAGGAAGCATGGGCACATATTCTGTTGGAAGAAGCTACATGACCTCCACATAGAAAAAGAACGCTTACAGTAACCTAACAAAGAAAATATAGAATGTTATTAATATTACTGAGACTCTTGTGACATTTCAAAAAAAAATTTCAGAAAATAGAACCCAAACATATTGTTTGAGTTTCCTTCAGTGCTAAAAAAGTTGCAATAGTAAGCATATTATCTATATGTCTATGTGGTGAAAGCATGTCAACTTAAAATAATCTATGTCCCAATAATATAAACTTATTAATTTAAAATGATCCCAATAATATAAATCATCTATCCTGATTGACTTAATTGCATTTCTGTAGAGCAAATCAATATTCAAATGCTTAAAAAAATTAATAGAAAGGACATACCAAAGGTAAAACAAATATTTTAACAGAATAAAATAAAATTACTACACAAGCATGACTATGGAATCAACAACACAAGAGATCTACCTTACAGCTTAAGGATGTAGGAAAAGCATGTTGCGCATCCACAACAGCCTCATCATTGTACATGGTCAAAGATCAAATGAGGACACGTCCCATTCTCGAACCTATTGATTTTTGAAAATGTAAACGCCAGCAAGAAACTAGAAGGCAATGCTGTACCAAACCTCAATCGACGACCTATTTAAAGAAACAAAAATACAGTCTAGATGTTTAAAAGAACCATCTAAATCAATCCCGAGTCAAGTTCAAGGTAAAGAGTGCATCTAACAATATAAACTAGTAATGGCAACTCCATCAAAACTTCACTCCTTATGTAGGATTCTAAGATCCAAAATAAACACGTCCAAGACATAAAAATCTGAAAGCAAAAGCAACGCAGAATGTTAGCAACAGCAGCATAGTCTACAATCATCACACCTCAGAGAAGTTATGAATAACTCATTAAGCTCCAAAGAAAACCAATCCCTGAAGCCCACAGATCCAAACTGGCAATCCATAAAGAGAGGAACATTTTTCAAACAACATCAACCACTACAAGAAACAGAGGACCTGAGTTCCAGTGAGAGGAGAAATATTAAAATGAAAGATGAATCCAAAATCCGTACATCCATAAACAACAAGAAAACTAGATAAGCAGTTCCACTGTTTGAACAACTGTTGCATTGGAAGCCTTTCTCGGATATCCAGCGCCAATAGATACTGAAAAGTCATGCGATCTTTAAACAACATGAATAACCACGATCTCGGTGCGAAGCTAGAACAGAGGGAAAACCAATTAGCAAGAAAATCCAACAGCAGGAGATGAGAATAAAAAAAATTTAGTTCCTTAGACTAAGAACAGCAATACAAGTGAAATAAATACATTGTATACCTAAAGTGGACCGTATCCACCCATTGGTCCAGTTGGTGGCCTTGACATTGAACCTGGCGCTGTAGGGTAAGAGCTAACACCTCCTGCTCCTCCTTGTTGAGCAGTTGGATGAGTGCCCTGAAGACCTGGAGGCCCTTGAAACCCTGGCGAGCCTTGAAAACCCGTATGCCCCTGAAACCCTGAAGCCACCTGATACCCAGCACTTCCCATTCCATAGCTGGCCATCTGTGCTGTCTGGGGTACGGCTGAAGGAGGTACAGCTTGCTGGGTCCCCGTTGCACCAAATGCAGCAGCAAAAGCAGGATTCAGTGAAGCAAGCATGGCCGGCGTAACTCCAAAAGCTGCTGGATTCTGCCCAGCTGTCGCTAATAGTGTTAGCAACGCAACATTTGGCTGCATTCCCTGTCCAAAGGCTTGTCCTCCCCCCAGGCCAAGAAGCCCCTGTCCCAACATCGCAGCTTGTTGTGCTAACCCGATATCTGATGGTGGCAATGCATAACCAGGCCCATTGAGAGTTCCTGTGCTCGGCACCACATTGGGAGAAGCTGCTGTGTTCTGAACCAGTGCACCCTTACTCTTATTATCAGTGGCCTTCTGACAGTGGAGCAGGTGGCCTTCAAAATTCTTGCTCGGCTCCTCGAGGGCTCTCAGGGCGCCCTCCACCGTCTTATAGACAAAAAGGGCATACCCTTTTGGCTTCCCGGTGTGTCGATCAAAGCCGATGGGGCCCTCCTCGATCTCACCGTACTGGGAGAAGAAGGCGAGGAGGCGGCCACCATCAATGTCGGAATGGACGTTCCCCACGTAGATCTTCCTCGAGATGTTGTCCTGATGCGATGCGGGACCAGGGCCAGGGTTAGGGTTAGGGTTTTGGTGGTGTTGCGACGCGGAATTGTGGTGGTGGAGGGAAGCGGAGGGGCCGGCGGAGGCGAGCTGGCAGGAGGTCATGCGGTTGTCGATGAGCTTCTGGGGACGGCGGAGAGCGCGGCGGGCGGAGCTTCGGTGGCGGAAGAGAACGAAGCCGTAGCCCTTGGATCGGCCGCTGGCCTTGTCGACGATCACGCGGCAATCGTCGATGTCGCCGTAGCGAACGAAGGCGGCGCGGAGGCCCTCAGCGGTGGTGTCCCAGCCGAGGCCGTGAACAAAGAGCTTGCGGTGGACCGGGTCGAGGTCGGCGACGCGGCGGATCTCGGCGAGGGCTGCAGGGTCGGAGGCTGCAGCGAAGCGGAGGAGGCCAACGAGACGGTCCCTGGAGATCGGCTCCAGGAGATTCCCCACGTCGTCGTCGTCGTCGTCCTGGTCGCTTTCGCTGCCTCTGCCGCCGTCCTCGTCGTCAGAGGCCGGCGCCTGCGTGTAGACGACGGGCTGCTGGTGGAGTTGGGGGAGGGGATTATCGGCATGGTTTGGGGCGGCGGGGAGGAGATCGTCCTCTTGGTCGACCTTCCGCTTCTTGGTCGCCATGGACGCGGAATGCGAATTGTCTTAGGGTTCGGCTGCCCCTTTCAGGCTTTAAAGCGACCGAGAGAAAATGATATGTTAGCCGAAGCTTCTGTTTTATACAACAAACAAATGTTTTTCGTTTCCAGAAACAATTAAAAACACAGAAAAACTGATGCCGATGGACGGCAACACTTCACGAGGGGTTTGAAGTTGTTATTTTTATTCTAAAAAATATAAAAATATTTGTTCTTTTTCAGAAAATCTGATAGTCACTTATTTCTATATGATACAATTAGTTAGTCAATCTAACATAGCGAAAATGATCCAACCTGACTCGTTTTTAATTTTTTTTATCCCATAAAAAGATTTTTTTTTTTAGAGTATGTAATATATGAGTTACAATTAGAGGAGCATAAAAATATTTATTATTAGTGTAATGTCTTTTTGGAGAATCCGTTTTTTTTGTTTTTAGTTTAGATGGATGCATCAAGTGTTAATAAGAAACTTTAATTTATATGTTACTAATGTCCCAAGCAAACACTTCAGGGGTAATCGGATGCATCAGACCCTTTGAATGCTTGGTCACATCGCAAATACATAATGTGCAAGAAGATGCTTTTGATGCCTTAATGCTTATGTCTTATATAGATGCATAATTCATGAAAATATATATCGCTTAGTCACTACTCACATATTTTGAAGCTCGTATATTAGATAGGATGTTTTAAGTCATGTGAAGTGCTTCAAATATTATTGGTAAATGTATTATGCATAAGAGTAATATTTTAAATATTGTTGGGCACTATGAATATTTTTTTTATTCTTTACATATACATCATGTGTAAAAAGATATATGTTATGTACCGAGGTGTATCGACGTATCATATGTGAGTACATTAGTACGTATCGAAAGTATGCCAAAAATCACTATAAATAGCTCCAAAAATATTTAAAAATTAATATATATATATATATTAGAATCTTAAATTTAAAAATAAATATAAATTTTATATATTTTTATGAAAAAAAATTAAATTAAGAAAAAATAGTGGCACATTTTTTTATGCTCTAAGGACTAACTTTATTGTACGGACCATTATTTCATTAATATTAAATTATCGACAAAGAAATGATTTGAATTATTAGATTTTTTAAAATAACTTAAACTTTAATGTTCAAATGAATTAACTAATCGATCGATAGATATACCTAGTTCTACTACCAAAAAGAATGATAGGACTCTACATATGATAAATCGGGGTCCTCAATCATTTGTATTTATATATCAATTTGATATATTTATCAGATCCAATCTTAAAATTGATCATACGATAGTATGTTAATACATTGTATGCTATTGTTGAATCAATATGGTAATAGTCAAAATCTGATCGTCATAGATCACATGTGTTTAAGGTAGTTCTTGAGGTAAGTATGATTGTGGCATGTATTGATACGAACCATGAAGAATAATAACAGAACTTCTACTTTCGCCACTGATCTATTGCTCCATATTATAAAATCGATCATTGTACTATTGCTTGGAGAAGTTTGTATTGCTTTTGGTCATAAGATTTTTCATAATACGATGATTATGAATACGATGAACTTTGCTCTATGTCTACGTCATGTAGGCTCCGTCGCATCCGCTTAAAATCATCCATCGTCTTCCCTTTTTTATTATATGTATAAATTTGATTAGTACCTCATCGAGTTCCATAATCCAAATCTTGGGTGGCATGTATAAAATATTACTCATCGGTCCATACACCACCCTTAAATTGTATAAACGGGATCATCGACTCCCCAACGTTGTTGCCATTATCGATTAGGACACTACTGTCTACATTACTACCATCTATTTGGACTGAGTAGGATATTTAATATGATTGAGAATGTGTTTTGTTGTCCGACTCGATTCTTTCCAACAGTGTAGCTGATGCTACTATCTTCCCCTTTGCTTTTGCTTTTGTAAGCTGGGTGGAGGACTGTAATTATTGGGTGTCTCCAGTTACTTGAGTACTCTAACTCGATATTGTCCAGCTCCTTCTGCTAGGTTCTAATATAGGAGAATATTCATCCTACTAGGAATGTGCTTTCTCGACAATAAAATGTGAAGGACGTTAAGGGTCTCCCACCACATCAAGTAAAAGGTCCTCTTAGTTCTCTGTTGCTTCGACTTACTCTAACATCGACTTTAAATCTTCATTATAGAGTTAGAAGTCGATGAAATCAATCTTTGTTTCCTCTGGCTCCTTGTCTAGTTTGGCTTTTCGTAACCTTAATCGCATATTATAGTAGACATATACAAATTTCTACAACTATCTATGCGATAGTCTATTGTGGACCTTCATATGAATTAATGTGAACATCGATCAATTATATTTACAACTACTAGATATCGACAACTACAAAAGCATATGAATAGTAATATTTTTAAAATTTATGCATTTCGTCTAAATTATAACCATTAATCGATTGTAAAAAATATATAAATAGGACTTTATTAGTATAACGAATAATTAATGTTAAATATAGTTTATAATCAACATGTGTATAACTTTTTCTCAATATGATTCATATTATCATGACACGATACAATTATAATGCAACCAATTATTTTTTAAAATAATCAACCCTCTATAATACCATCGATAGCATCGGTAATGATAAGAGTCAATATATAATATTTCGTAATACCGATAATAAATCTGATCGTAATCCAATACTACATTAAAATTAAATGATCATATTTAAATAATACACTACAAGATAAATATTAAAAATTATGAATTAAATACATTAGTAATTTAAAAATTAGATAATAGTAAGAATTTATTAAATATTAAAGACATGAATTAAATTATACTAATATATGAATTTATCTGCATCATTAATATCTTAGTCCATATGAACTTTAATCCTACAATCGATGGTCAATAAGTATTACTCGGTCTTAAAAGTATTTTTAAATGCTTTCTTAACCTCCTCTCTTTCTATAATTAGCATACGTAAGACATTTGGGAATGTTTGTCTATATCAATTTTACGAAGGACAATGTAAAGTGATTTTACTCCTGTTATGATTTTTTTTTCATGATATCCTAAAATCTAGAAGAAAGAATAGTTTCTTTTAATCTTTTTTCATCACTCGATCTCGAATACCTGGAATCGGACAATTCTTGTGAGGTGACCATTGCCTTGAGGCCCTACCTCTTTTGCTATATTGATTTTAAGATAATAAAATTTACAGCAAATTAAGTAACTTTTAAGTCCGAGTATCTCACTATTTATATATTTTTGTATTAAACAATTTACTAACGATGATTATATATAAATTTTATAATCGATTGGGCTTGAGTTATGCACTTATTAACTAGTAGTAGCTCACCAATATCCTTAATAAAATTTGTAGCAAATCAAGTAATGAGTTGCACATATAGTCTAAAATAATTTTTTTTCATTAATTGTAAATTGATCTTTTTGAAATTGACTCGTGATTGTCTAGATAATGTACCATAGTCTAATCTCCTCTGTTACAGTGTTTATTAGTTTTTCAATATAATTTACATATTGAACCCTAGTATTAATTGACTTATGAAAAGTCACTCATCTATTGTAATAAACAAGAAAGTCGATGATAATATTCTTGTTGGCCCTGTTCAACTATCACACATCAATGTCATCATGTATTTGTCTCACTATCTCTTGAATGATTTGATCTAATCCGTCAATTCTATCATCTCCTCATCTAAATATACATCGTGGATCTGGTGTTAAAGGTTGAATCCTCATGTCAAGACTTTTGAATAGATAAGATCATGCTTTAATAATATAAACCTTAGTTTGTGTTAGCTATAATCATATGAAAGTTGAATTATTTTATAATTATCTTTCCAATATCTTTTTTTCTTTTATATAAGCATCATCAATCTGTATATGCTTAGTTATTTATAGAAAATAGGCTTATAAATCAATATCAATAAAATATAGTGTTGACCTCCTGCCAAGTCCACTAATAAAACCATGGATTTTCACCTAACTCATGCCATCAAAACTTACTTGAGGAGGGACAATTAGTTATCTTATGTTGGCCAACCTTTGGATTCCTCGTGGTATATGCCCACTACTACCACCATGCACACATTGTGAGTCAGGTCATCAATGCCTCATTGCTTCCTCGTACATGTACCGATGCTCCAATGATGCATGAATAATAGCTTTGAGATCCTAGTTGATTTCATCATCATGACTCTCATATTCATCATAAATGGACTCATGCATAGTCCTATAGTGTTCTTTCTTGGCTCTTGTCTTCTTTTTCATTTTATATTCTATTTCTTGTTATAACTTGTCTTGAAAAGATTTATGAGCCTCCATCAAAACCTTCTTGTATTTTACAATATCGGGATACCCATCGGCCAAATGCATCTTCACCGAGGTGATTCCAACTATTGCCGATGTAGTTACAATAAATGCATTGAGACATGATCTCAAGCATAATTATGTGTTTATTCTTTTGATGTAATTATACGAAATAAACCCTACTTTATTCCTATAAATATGCCAATCAACCTATTCGACATTAAATACATAGAATTAACTTAATATTATATTTTTTTCATTAAATATACTAATAATAATAATAACTTAATTAAATATTAATTTATTTTATTTTATCACTATAAATATATCAAATATCCTAAAAAGGGTTAAATACATATATTTAATTAATGGATATTAAATTATGATAAATTAATCATTAAATATACTAATTACATTATTAACATAGTTAATTACTCACTAATTATTTCTCTTTCATCATTATTAATATGTCAAATACTACATTAAAGATGTTTAATTGACCTTAGGGTCAAGTTTTAATATTATCATAATTAAATAAACTAATCATAATACTGACATAGTTAACTAATATATAATTAATTCTCTTTCATCGTTATAAATATGTTAAATACTCTAATAGGCATTAATGATATTGAATTGACTCAATATTGATTAAATTTTAATTAAATAATTATTAAAACTATTAATCATAATATTAAAAATTTTAACTAAAACCTAATTACACCTATTATATCGACAAACACATAAATCACCGCATGAAATATAAAGATTTATCCTATTTAAATTTTTAAAAAATTAGTATTAAATATACTAATCATAATATTAAATGTATTAATTACTCTTTAATTAACACTATTCTATCATAAAAAATATCAAATAATATATTAGATATTAAGTAATTAACTATGTAGAATAGGTTTAATCATGTCATAAATCAATAAAAATCTAGAAAGAGAATGCATACCTCTTGATTAGAACGTTCTTCCTCGCTTTCTTGAGTTTATGATAATGAAAATATTAGAATGAGAGAGATATGTGTGAAAAAGAGTTTGATAGAGTCGAAGAGATTGAGAGAGTGAAATAGGTTGAACTAGGGGAGAGGAAAGGGTTTAAACAAGTCAATTTGACTATTCAAAATCGGACAATCTCAACCCTTAGATGGTAATGATTGAAATTTGACTGTTTAAATCACTCAATATTCTATAATTTATTATGAATAAAAAATATCGATAAAAAGTTTCATTGTTTATATCTAGCTCAATTACTTTGAAAGAAACATACTTAACAAATAAATATAATCAATCATAGAATATTGAGTGATTTAATGATGGAATAATTTTCTTTTACGTACTAATGTGTTATTTTATTTGACTCCCAACTGATCGAAAATAAAAATTATGCCACCATTTTATATATATATTTTCATTATTATTAATTATTTCTCAGCATCAAAATTAATTGATAACCCTGATATTTTGTTCTTTTTAAAAATGTAAAATAAAATATCACTTTTGAAGCATGAGGAAAAAAATTGCAATAAATAAAAACATATGTATAAGCATTTAGTTAATCTTTTCCTTTTGAGAACAGAACAAAAATCCTACTGCTATATTTCAGTGGATTGCTTATGGTTTTTGTGATTGATGTGCGTGGATTCTTCAACTCGGACCAAAATACCAAAATGTTCTTGCATACCGGAAGAGAAAGGAAATTGTGCTATTGATGAATGTTAAGGATAATGCTGATGAATGGACAATTGAATGTTCAATCTAAAGCATGGCTATTTTGGTATGATTTCAACAAAACTAGACCAGTTGAACTGACCAGTTTTCTGATGAACACACAAGCAATAAACACACTGATGAATTCAGAACAAAGAACATTGTTGGCTGATCATTGACACACATCATGGCAAGTGAAACACATCCACATCAAACACTGCAAGATCAAGAATGATAAAAACCTTTATTTTGCTCGCATAATCTTCCGAATAACTGGCAGAATAATTCGGTATGTTCCCAAATAACACGAGATTCATAGGTAAATTAATTTTTCTTTCCTTGTCGCTCTCGTGCTGGTTTAGCTGAAACCGGAGCATCTTCCACGATGGCAGCCAAGTTGTATGGAGAGCTCAGGAATCATCAAGCTCGGGCAGGGTAGTAGGCATTGGATTCCCAGACAGGAATGCCTTGATAAGAACTAATGCTGATTTTGGTCGAAGCAGGGAAATCTCATGGCCAGCTCCCCTCACAGTCACAAATGTGAGACCTTTGTATACTTGAGTCCATCCACCGACCTGCTTGGCACAGGAGAAATTGTTCGCTGACAATGCAATTGAAGAGGGTGCAGACAGAGATGGGAGTTAAAAATCACCCCCAAGAGAGCAGCATGTAAATTTTAGTATGGAGTCATGGACTATAATCTTTGCTGTCAGATGAGAACAAGGTGGCTTCCTATTTGGAAATGCCCAAACTACATGCGTAATTAGATGTCAAATCCTCGTTTTATTCTTCGATATAAAAGCAGACTGTGCTTGTCGATTCGACTTGTAATAGCATATAAAAAAACCAGCTAGGTGAATCTTTGCCTGCACATGAATGTTTATCTTCGAAATTCTGGTCCTCGGAGGTAAAATGAGATGCTTGAGAAGGGCTGTAGGTAACTATATGCGCTCTATTGTGGCAAATTAGACCTTGAACAGTGTGCCCTTTGGATTCTACATGTTGTTGTTAAGACACCATAAAAATGTCAAGAAAGAATATTATTGCACCAACCCTCCTTTGTGGATTAAGGCGAGTTTAGCTCTGTTGATCTACATGCAGAACCAAGAGAACAACAAACACTTAAGGCAGGATCTTATGATAGATCTTTGATGATAAAAGTCTAGGTTAAATTTTTACTAGATTTTGAGCGTAATAGATACCTAAACAGAATAGATAGAAGGGGGAATTCTTTTCTAATAGAAAATTATGTGAGTAATTCTCATCTGAGGCTCAGGACCATGTGAGCTCCATGGAAATAGCAAACTAGAAGTTTTAGACCCTTCCCATTTCTAACATCAGTCTTAAATCAATGGATGTAATTTCAGGACTGGACCTGGATCGGTCCATGGCAGGGACTTTACGGGTCTGAATCTGATCGATGCCGGTGTACCAACATATAATGATTAAATAGCTGATCTGGAACAATCAATCAATGAGGACCATCTATATTCTTTCACTAATTGAGGGGACAAAGTGTAAATGGGTGATGAGGCTTCGACCATAAGGGTAAACAAGGAGCTTAGATCTTGGATCAAATAGTACAGGTAACTACATACTGAACTGGGTATGTGCATTGGAAACTAAACTTAGACCACCCAAAAAATTGTCCCTACTTTTGGTCAGGCACAAAGTTGATATTGATCAAGTGATCATAGAATGCTGCTAATCCAATCTTATCAACTCAATAGTCCATTGTACATCCAAGTTCAATAACAAAATAAGATTCCACCATTATCAAATGTATTATTTGAGTGTTTCCATGACCTTTCTCTATCATTCCATAGTATCTTTGGTAAACAGCCATGAGTTACTAGCCACTAGAATGTTGTATGAATATTACATACCTGACCATCATCATACCAAGCATGCCATGGGGTCACCGTAGGAAGCTTAAGTGCATCAATATTATACCGTGTTGATGCAACTGGAATAACGGCGTCTGTGTCTCCACTGAAGAAACAAAAGCAATGTCAATGTCACAAAGACATGATTTACTATCTGCTTTAAGAATTATTAGGATTGTCACTACAATTGATCCTGCAACCAGTGTTAATTATAGGTGAACCTGATAATAAAAAACCTCATGCAAAGTACTGTGGAAAAAGGCTTATCCAATGAAGAATCCAAGCAGCCTGAGAATGAATATAACTTTGGTACAGATCTTAGCGTATACCACACAACATGTTCGGCAGGCTACAAGAAAGGCAAAAAAAGGAAAATCTGCAAAATTGGGGTCAAAGAACTTCTTGACAATACAGTTGCTTCAATTAGAATCTTAAATGTATAATGAGGTCTCTAATGCATATACTTAACTAGAAAAAGTATGTACGTAGAATGAATTCTAATATGCAAGCTCGTAAGGCCTAACTGATTATGAAGCATCTAGACAGGCAGAAGTATTTTACTAAAACAAACAATATTCAAAATGCCTACAGTCACATCTGAATATAAGAATCACCTGAACATCCAGATGCGAAGCCCATGGCTTATAAGCTCACGGTAAATAGGCAGCACTGACCTTGAAGAATCCTTGTAGTTCTTATCCACAAAATCACTGCATGACAGAAGAGGCAAAATTTAAAACAATACACAACTACATTGAGTGCATGAGTATGGAATTGTGGAAATATTGTTTTCATGCAAAAATTTACCTGCAAGTTACCCACTTAGAAGGAGCAAATGCTGGATTAACATGGAGTACTTTTTGGACCTCGGGCAAATTAAAATAAACCATAGAATGTTTCTCAGTGCACGGATCATACTTTTTGCCTATTCTTCCAGCAGACTGTCAAAATAGAGCAACTGGTAAGTCAATCATAAAGTTCTATAGCAAATGCAAACACAATCCTAAGGGCTTCTACAATTCATCCATCATTTTAATGTCTTTCTTCCACATTCTAATAGTCCTATAAAACATAAAATAATCATAGAGAAAAGGTACATGAAGCTTCCAGTAAAATAATCATAAAAAAATAGGTCTTTCTTCCACTTGATTATAAAATTCAAACACTTACATGCAATCTTTTCAGTAATTTATTTTTTGAGAGCGTGAAGCTTCCAGTACAGGAAGGAGTAAAGATACTGTATGGGTCAATATTCCCAAGTTCGTTGCTAGCAATGTCAAGAATCTTTTGGCATTCAGACGACGGATGTTCAAATGACTGGGAGTCACAGAAAATGTTGAGCAGCTTGTATGTTTGATCTGAAATTAAGCCAGTCGTCCACATGTATTGGAAAACTCCATGATAGTCATTAAAATCATCAGTCAGAGCATTTCCCACCTGCACATTCTCTCACAAGTCAATGCTATTCTCTAATTTATAAATAAATAAATGAATTAGGTCCTCTAGTCACCACATGTTCATAGAGAAACACAGACATTACATCATATATCCAATGATCATACCATATATCCCTTGAGGTTAATTGATTTCGTTCCTGTTAATTTTTGGGACTTAACAATAGCTTGAGCCAATTGCGGCACATAATGCCCTGTAAAAAGAACAAGAGATATTAAGTATAAAATAAATTTAGAATATTCGATGAAATTGGCAAATAAAGAAGTTTTTGTAGTTCTTTGAACCTGCATAACTTTCTCCAGTTATATAAAAATCTCGTCCCTTGTATTGGGGAAAACGTTTGAACCACCTCTTCAAAAATGTCAAATTATCTTTTGCTGCAAGTAAAAGGCAAGAGAACCATTCTAAGATTCCCAGATGATATCAAAGCAAAAGCAAAATAAGGAAAAAAAAAAAAGAAGAAAAGAAAAAAGACAGTGACACCAGTTCTTTTGTCTCCGTTGGTCAATACATCTTGAGAATTGTTTGAATAGGCAAAGCCGGCACCAACAGGAGAATCCAGAAACAGTATATTTGCCACTGCAAAATATTTAGAGATATCAAATAACTCACTGAGATATCATGCTCAATATTCCTGAACCTACCAACACATGGTGCAATTTAGTAGATAATTTCGAACACGAAGTGAAATTAATTGTTCAATCTGGATCGAACCAGTATGTAGTACAGATTAAAAACAGACTCTCACTTTACTGTATATAAGGATCATCATAAAGGACTTCTGTATGATGAGACAAAATGACAGTTACTTCATTAGATTGCCTGAAATAGATTAGAAACATGAATGTATGTGGAATTTGAATGCATAGGTGGAGAGATATATATCAAGATATCAAATGAATGAATAGCAGAATCTGCATATCTTTATCCATCTGGGTAACAAATATAGTAAAGCCCATCTTCCACATGACTACACACTAACAAGAACATAATAGAGAGCAAAAACAATTTTTTTTTTTTTTTTGCTTACCTTGATTCCAAGAATACGGATTCGGATAGAGACTTTTCCCATCTGCATTGACGTGAAAAGGCCCCACTTCCTCAGCCAACCCTAATCCAATAGAAGAGCAACCGGGTCCTACAACAAAGTGTTTTGAGGATCCAAAGTCAACCACAGTCTTTGCACTTCCATAACTAGCAAATTCTGCTCAACAGATCCGAATTTATCAGCCTCATCCATCAAGTGTAACTTTTTCTTCAATCAGAGAATATATATGAAAAATGATCCGGATAAACTCTGGTCTTTCATCTTATAAGGAAATATTAGAAAAAAACATGAAGATTATCTTAAAGCCCAGTCTCCGATGAACAAAACATGAACATTAATGTCTATGCCGTCATAACTCTTCTCACTTTCTCCTCAACGCCACCGGGAATGAAATAGAGGGTTCATGCGAGTCCAAGATTATCTCAATAGCATTGAGAACACAGAAAGAACCAATTCAGAGAACAGAAAATTCCAATTTTGATGAAACTTCAAATCCAAGCCAACCAACCAAGACTAAAACTGATCCATGAAAAGATTTAAATATTTGCAAATATTCAATCTTGCATATACAACAACGAACACAGAACAGTGTCAGCTTCATAAGAAAAATGTGAACTTTCATGACGATCTCAAAAAAAAATTGGATCTTTGACCGAGACCCATCGAAACAGAACTCGAACAAGAAAGATTCTCAAGGCCTGACCTCCATTGAGCCAAAGTACGAGGGGCTTGGATGCGGGTTCCTCGGTGGCCTCAAAGAACCAGTAGAAGAAAGCCCTTCCGGCCTCTTCGTTGACGGTCACGTAGCCGGAGTAGTGGGCGAAGCTAACGTCGAAGGATTGCCCCGGCAAGCGAAGCACCCGTTCCCTCGCTTGCTGCTCGAACACGCTAGCCTCCAAAGAGGAGGCCAATACGAGAA